GGGGGGGGGGGGGGGGGGGGGCGCGAGACAGAGAGGAATGGACGAGAGAGAGATCACTGCTGTGAGTGGCACTGCGTGAAGAGGTGCACGGCACCTGTGGCCCGGTGGGACAACCCACAAGCGGAGGTACCTACGGCGGACCAAAGCGGTCCCGGAATGTTGATTTCAGCCTGGGTTGCCACAAATCATACTAGCCCCCGTGGGGTAGGCCGTCTCTCCTCGACCCCCACCAGATTCGTTGAGGCCTAACATAAACGCCTAACGAGCACAAACGGTACTGCCTTGTTGGTGGCACACCGCTGTCGAGCTCACCGCTTGAAGCCTCCTCTCCACCCCCAGCTGACCCCCCCCGCCCGCCCTGCCCCCGATGTCCGAGTCCGTCCCCAGCCCCTTCGGCCTCTGCGCCGAGCGCTGCATGGGGAATCGCTTAACAGCGATCGACACAATGTCGTCGCCGGACAGCATCAGCGTTCCCCCTCGGCTGTCGATCTTCGACTGCCCGCCGTTTGATTGGTCGGTGGCACCCTGTACCTTGGCCGCGCGCATGATCACCTGAGAGGAGAGGGGGGGTTGCATGCCTTAGCGGTTTATCACGGACCACGCGTCCTCGAGAGGACCGGAGCGTTGTTCGCACAAGACCGATCACCGATAGGGCGGGGGGGGGTGTACTCTCATAATTTGCATGCCTTCGCGGTTTGACCATTGACCGCACACGTCCTCGAGAGGATGGAGCAGGGGGGGTCCGTCTCCGCTCAACTTACAGGAAGTGCATGTTTTTAAGAACAAATGTGCAATGGTTACATGTACGTGTTTCTCGGGGGTCACAGCATGGTTTGCGCTTCTAGACATGAAATATATGAACAGAAACAAACACCGACCGATGGTATGTGGAGTGGTTGCACGCTGACACAGCAGTGGGGACCTCTGGCGAAAGCACGCTTACTGACTACACAAAGACTTCGTTCGACACATCCCTTCGTGCGAGGATTTATCTCGGACGGCTTTCACTGTACTACGGTATGCATAAACATGCCTTGATGGTGTCTACATTTTCTCAACATCCCGGTAGGTTCGGGAGAAGAGTTGTTATCCGAGAGGAGTCTCACTAATCTCCGCGTCTTTATTCTTTTCTTGCTCTATTTTCTTCCTTCTTCCTTTTTCTTTGATTTTTCTTTTCTATTCCTTTCCACATGGCCGTCTGTCTTTTGTTCTCTGAAGTACTGCTGTACGAGGAGTGAACAGGGCAAAATACCTACCTACCCCTCGGCCCGAAATGTTGACTTCCAGAATATGTTTACCTCGCATAGCGTGCAGAGGCGAGTGGAGGGTTCTAGGCTACGTGTCGTTGATTTCTATTGACTTGCTGACACTCGGGTCCAATTTATTCTATGCATAGTACTCCTTTTTTGGGTAGGTTGGCCTTTGACGACGGGAATCGACCGCAGTGCGGAGATGACGGTAACACTGCTGAACTGGGTTGCTGGGTAGACATCGGAACGGTTCTTAAGAAGATAACAACAACAACCTACTCATGGGTGTGCCGGCACTTCCAACATATCAACGCACCCGTGTCGTGTATGCATAGCCGCCCGCACAACTGAAACTTCCCTTAACAGCAGTGCAGGGAAGGGCTTCAACACATGCCCAAGCGATATTGAGTGCCTGGCTTGCAAGTGTACATGTGCTGCTGTGGTGGGGCGTGTGTGCACAGCAGTGATCTGTCAAGGTTGTGCTCGTGCACAGCAGAGTAACACCACCTCCTCCTCCTCGGCCTGCTCCCCGGCCGGGGCCGAAATCGACCTAGTGAGTCCCTCGCGGGCGAACCAGGACACAACAGATAGTAGGCGGGTGGTGTCCCAAGGTGCAACTCACCGCCGCGCTGGCTCAGCGTGGCGGTGAGGATGCACAGACGGTGGTAGTGGCGAGAGGTGTGTATGGACACTGTTCCCGCGGCAGTAATGCAAAGCGGCAAACTGCACCTGGCAACCACCGTCGCGGAAAGCGTGGCCCACGAAGCTGGAGGAGTAGAGAGATTCGTAAACACCACGTCAGTAAGCACCGCTCGCGGGAGAAGGGAGACGACCGCGGGCACCGCGGGGAGGGAGTGCTGCACCCTCCTCGTCAAAACACCACAGGCAAGAACCGAGCTCTGCAGAGATGGATTGATGCGAGGAAACTCGCCGCTCGGAAAAGACGGAAGAAAGCACACCCGCAACGCGAGGTGGACCGAGAGAGACACGAGACCGCAGCGGCCGTCAAGGC